CCCTGCATGTGGCAGGGGGGTTGGAGCTCCATGATCCTTGAGGTCCCTTCCAACCCTGGCCATTCTGTGATCTAAAAATGAAAACACATGAGTGCTGTACAGGGCATGCTTATAACATACTGTAGGGATATCTCTGGTCTGCCAGTGTCGACTTTATGCCTATGCCATAAAGGTTTGAAGTCTCTTTTATGCTCTGTATTTGTTTTAAAGCAAGATTTGTATGTAGGTTGCTCCGAAAGTTATGCCTCCTGTTTATTTCCAGGGCAGCTATGACAGATGCAAAGTACACGATAACACTATTTGGTAGAACAAATTCTGAGCTACAAAATGGAGTTTTTCAACATAGTCACCACTATTAACTATGCACATTTGGCAGCAGTGAACAAAAGTCTGCATGCTGCATTTGTAAAAATCATCATCAGAGATGACCCACTGTTGCCACTGCTGAATCATACCACTCAACCCTCACTGTGCTAGCATCTGCTGGTTGATGGCTGTCCATGTTCAGTAAGCATCAATGAGTGCTATTTTTTTCTGGGTGCCATGGAGGCATTACTTGAGGAGTAGCCCCCATAGTCTCACTGCACTTGTGGCCTTCCTGAGCTGTGAGTTGGCGCTGTAAGGGTGGTGGGATACCTCCTTACATCCAGTCTGTTCTCAGGATGCCAACAACTACTAGTGCCCATTATACTTTAAAAGAAATCCTTCTCCCTGTGTCAGAAGTGGGGAAGAGAGGTGACAAGGTGTGCTGTCCATTCACTGATGGTGAATTCATACCGTATGCATACAGAGAGATGCTGTGACTGTCCCATACACATCCATTTAGAAATGAATGGAGATAGAGGAAGGCGGCAGTAGCACTCAAACTCGTCATAGCAGCGCTGCAGCGACTCATTCTTTCAAACAAGCAGTAGGAGACCCTCCACGCGGGCAGGGCGGGGGAGGAGCGCAGCAGCGCCCGGAAACAGGGTCTGCTCGCAGACAGAGCGCTACGCGGCTCCCGCGCTGCCGGGACCGAGGGGCGAACGCGGCCGGGCGGGAGATGCTCGCGGCCACACCTCTGCGGAGCGCGCGCGCGCCACCGCCCGACCACTCTTCTCTCTCCCCGCCTGCCGAGGAGGGAAAATTGGAAGGGGGCCGGCTCCGATCGCCGCGCCTCGGATTGGCCCCCGCCTCCTGCCCTCCTCCCCATTGGCCGTTTCGCCGGAGCCGTCGGCGTCCGATTGGCTGGCGCTCTTTTGGTACCAAATTCAAAGTTTTTAAAAGTACCCGGCAAGGGCGGCCGCGCACTTTCAGCTCGCGGGACGCGGCGGCTGCAGCGCTGCAGGTGAGCGCCGGCTGCGCCGCGCCGTGCGGGATGTTCGGGGCGGGGTGGCGCCGGGCTCGGAGCTGCACTGGGAGTTCTGCGGTGTGAGCTCCTAAGTAGCGAGGTCGGATGGGGCGGTGGGGCGGGGAGCACCAGCCGAAATGCGCGGGGATGAAACAGGGGCACTGGGTAATGGGGATCCTTGAGACTTGCCTGCTCTCTCCCTACCGACGGTGCTGGGATGGGATAGCGATGAATGGAAACCGCGAGACGCTCTGTTCCTTCTGCCGCGCCGCATACGGGACGCTGCCCGCCCCACGCCCGCCGCTGTGGGACCGGGCGTGCGGCAAGGCGCCCATCCCAGCGGAGGGCAGCGCCGCTGCTGTCTCCCTGCCGCCCGCGGGGCCGCGCCGTCGATGGGAGGCATCCGCCGCCCCACTACCACCATTTTGGGGGGAAAGCGCGGGTCCCTGCTCCCAGATCCCTGTCCCCAGCCGAACGGGAGCCGCTCGCTGACAGTGCGGGGTGTGGGCCCGGACCGGGGGCTCCGGTGCTCGCGGCGGAGAAGGGGTGAGGGAACTGTATCTCCTGCCTCTGGCTTTGGTTGTACAAAGGCAGAGGTGGATTCGTTCCATTCTTCCTCGGCACGTAGGTACGGAGGAGTGGGTTTTTCTCGGAAGTGCCTTGAAGGAGTTCCATTTTCTTTATAGCTTTTGTCAACCTCTTGAAATGACCTGAATTCCCTAAATTAAATATCAGCTCTGATGGAAGAACCTGTCTTTCATAGCGATTCCGAAGCATAAGGGAAATGCTTTCCCCGCAGGTTTGGGCAGCAGTGCTGGCTCCTCGTGCCCATCCCCCGCAGTCGCGGCACGGAAGAGCCCCGCACTTGGCGGGCGGGAGGGAGCGGGCAGCGCGGGCCCCATTTCCTCTAGCAGCCACCAGTCCCCGCGCCTCTGCCTCTCACCCGCCAAAACCACGCCTGTAGCCCTACTTCACCTTGAGCACTACTACTGCCCCCACGCCTCCACGTGGTCTGGCTCATTTCTGTTGTGCCCTTCGCCCCCCTTCCTTTCCAAAATTGCGGGGTGCCTGCATGCATCAGTAGCATTGCCTCTGGGTTTGGGGTGCCAGTTTTTCGGGCAGCCCTGGGCTGGTTCTGCTCTTTACTGGGCCACTCTGCTGTCTCTTCTGGCCTTCAGAGCCACTGCTACCAAGGAGCATGTGTCCGCGTCATACCATTGCGCTAGGGGAGGAATGGGAGGCACTGGTGTGTAAAACCAGTCTAAGTTGGAATGATGAAGTGTTAATCATTCACTGTTCCCTTATTCCACCTATATGCAGCATTAAGCTCTAGCTTTGAGCTGTTGATCAAGCTTTTAGTTCCACTCCTTGTCTGTGCTTTAGGCTCTAGAGGGTCAGTTGGATGGAAGCTAAATTCACGCTTCCCAAAAAAGGCATATCTTAGCAACAGAAAGACTTTGTGATGCAGTTTAGGATATGCACTAATATGTTCCCTTTTGTTACTTGCAGAATACAAACAGAACAATGAAATCAAACCTTAATCACTCTTTCAAAATGAAATGTGATTTCGATCGAACGGCTCTTCATGGTGGGTTCACACCTGTAAAATCTGCAGAGAAAACAAAACCGGAGGAACCCTGCCCTTTGAAATCTGGGGAGAAGCTTTGCAGAAGCTGTGATGAAGAGCATCAGAAAATACTGAGTGAACCGTACCATGCAGCCCCCAGAAATCTAGATCCTGAAGATGAAGGAAAGCCTGTACATAACAAAGAAAACAAGTATGTAATCCAAAGATTTGATGAAGGGGTCTATGAAATGGAGGCACTGGAAAATAGTAAAGTTAATGAGGACAGTGGTTATTCCTCTATGTTAAGTAGCCAATACAGTGATGCAACAGAACAAGAGGACAGCCTGCCCTTGGCTGGAAATCTCTGTAGCACACCGCAACACTGCCTTGAGAAGAACGAGATCCAAGTACAGTTGTCCAAGAAGACTTTGTTACCTGTAAGCCATTTTGAAGAAATGATTTGCTCAACTTTGAAAAAAAGTGGTAAAAGAAATCTCAAATCTTGGACTGCTTTTGACAGAATTGTTTTCAGGGAAAATTTTGAACTTCGTAATTTAATTGGAAAGAAAATGGGATTAGATAGAATAGACATTCTTGCTGAACTCTTCCAAAAGAACCTGAAGCATATATTAGCAAGCATCTTAAGACATCTTGGTGAGATGGACTTAATAAAGTAAGTATACCAATTTTGGTATTTTGTTGGGAAAGTGAACTACCTATTCTCACATAACACATGTATTGTCTGGCAAAGTTATGGAGATTAGTGTGGGAGTTATTAAAAAGTACTTGGAAGGCAATGCAGTCATTAGCCACAGCAAGCATGGGTTCGTTCGCAAAGGGAACCTGGGGAACTTAAAGGGAGCTCCAGTCCTTAAAGGAGGGAGACCAATGTTTTATACAGCCTGATAGAGACAGGACAAAGAGGAATGGCTTTAAGCTAAAAGAGGGGAGGTTGAGCTTAGTGTTTGGAAGAAATTTTGTAATCAGAGGGTAGTGAGGCCCTGGCACAGGCTGCACAGAGAGATGGTGGGTGTCCCATCCCTCGAGGCCTTCAAGGCCAGATTGGATGGGACTCCAGGCAGCCTGATGCACTGGATGGCAGTGCTGCCCATGGCAGAGGGATTGAAACTAGGTGGTCTTTAAGATCCCTTGCATTCTATTAATACAAGAATTGTTGTATTTGTAGACAGTATGTCTTCCTAGAAAGACAAGACAATTATTGTTGACATTTCCCATTTGTGTATGGAAAAAATAAATGTATAAATAGTTATCCCTGTTGTTAAATAATGAGTTTTCCAACTTTCTTAGAAGGTAACTGATATATTTGTATTGTCGTTACAGTTTTGCCAAAGTCAGCGCAACATGGAAGAAGATTTTGCAAGAAGATAAATGGGGTTTCCAAATGTATAGTAAAGCTTTGGAAAACCTTTCTGTAAGTTTCTGCACTTGTAGGGTATTTTAGACATAAACCAGTGGTGTGTCTTTGTTATTCCAGGAATCTTCCCAGCCTTAAGTGATCAAAGAGATTGTTAGATTGGAAAGAGTTTTGCTGGTGTGCTGGAGTTTGTGCTGTTAGGATACCCTATTGTCTTGTGCATTGATGGTCACTTCACTTGTAGTGTATAAACTGTTTTTACAGCCCAAGGGATATTGGCTGAGAAAGTTACCCCAAGAGATGTGGATGTTCTTCCACAAGTCCTGTTTAGAGAAGAAAAGAGTGTCAGTTCTAGTACTACTCATTAGGAGCCTCCACAGAGGCTTACTGCTTTAGCATCCCCACTGATTCAGGAAAGAGAGACTCAAAGATACTCATTTTCAAGAGACAGTCTGAAGTGGTCTACCACAAATAACAAAAAAAAAAAACCTTTTTGCACTACTTTGAGCTACTATCAATTTTTTTTTATTTTTTGGATGAAACAATAGATACAAGACCTAGTTAGAGAACTGTACAGAGCTATATCTAGCACTCTACCAAGGCAGAACTCTTCCAGAACACCAGAAGCATTTTGTTTTTTAACTTGAGAGGTGAAAAGACAGTAAAACAAGGCTTGGTGTTTGCCACAGAATGAGGTAGTCAACTACTCTGAGCTTTTGGTCATACTTCCTGATGCCAGCCTGTTGTAGAGGAACAGTTGGACACCTCTGATAGAAACATTCATCCCACAAAGCTTGATTTTCCCCCTACCATTGTACCTTTAAAAAATAAAAAATAAAAAACAACAAATAAATGCAAACAAAATCAAAGGAAGGGAGGAGTTTACTTTTCAGAAAAAAAATGTAAAAGCATTCCTGTTCTTTGCAAATATGTGGAAATATTGCTTTGTGCTTTAAAACACTGCAGTCACTAAATTGAATTTTCTGCTTAAATATTTATGATATATTAATAAGAATGTAAACTGTAAAGTTCTTGATTTCTATTAAACAAAAAGTTGATTTATAGCCTATAAGCAGTTACCAGATACATCTCTTAAATGTTTCTTTTGTTTTCTCTTTGTTAGAGTGGCACTAAGACGTCAGAACATGCTGCAACAAGGGAGTATGTTCTCTACCGAGCAGCTTTAGCTTCAGTTCAGAAAGCAACCCCATCAAACAGCCTGAGTAAAAAAGGCAGCAGATCCAAAGCATCTAAAAATTACAGCAGGCTCATGGAGTTCTCTGAGGTATAACTGGGGGTTTTTGTTCAACTTATGAAGCATCTCCAACTTGAAGTGCTTGTAACTGCCCTGTTCCTGGCTGCGTTCAGAGCCAGGCTGGATGTGGCTCTGGGCAGCCTGGTCTAGTGGTTGGTGGCCCTGTCTGTGGCAGGAGGGTTGAAACTATAGATGATGATGATCCTTTTCAACCCAAGCCATTCTATGATTGTAAGCTGCCAGATTTTGCTTATTGACCCTATTTAAAGACAGTGACAGAAACAAAATGGAGAACATTAATACACTGGGATGTTTTACGTCCCTGTGATTAGGTTTCATCAAAATGGCTCAGTGGTTGGTTTTTTTTTTTGGCTTCAGTATTGGCCTCCATTGGTCATAACAAGTGTAGTCATTTCCCTTTATTTCCCATGGGTTTATAATGAATCATGTTTTCCAATTATGCAATCCGAGAGAATCTGTCAATTTTACTTCAATTCCAGTGGGCAATTTATTGTTTCAAAAACTAAGCAACCAGTTCATTTTTTGAAAAGTGAAATGAATACTTTCAGTAGGATTCAGAATTTTTTTTCTTTTTAAAGTTAGCTAAATCACTATTCTCAAATGAGGTTTGGAGGTTTCAGATCTTGGATTTGGGCTGCTTTTCTTACCACTTTGCATTAAGTCTTACTGTCCTTCAAGCTGAAATAATTAAAAACTGCATACCTCTCATCCAGTCCAAAGTACCTGCAGGCTGTCCAGTCTCCCATGAGAATCTGATGCAACCAGAATTAAACTTGTGTGTAATTTCTTTCTCTAGAGTGAGAGCAATTATGATTTATTTTGTGGCATATTAATGATGTTGGGGAACATTTGCAGTGTGTGTTTACCCTCCGCTTATGACTTTATGTATTTCTTCCATTAGGCAGCCAAGACCTTGAAAAACACTGAAAGCTTCAAAGTCTGCAGTCGTTGTGGCTCACCTGCAAAGTACGACTCCTATCTGCAAAGAGCAATGTGCAATCGTGAAAGCTGTGGCTTTGACTTCTGCACAAAATGCATGTGCAGCTACCACAGCTCCAGTGACTGTATGACAGGCAAACCAGTGAAATCAAGCTTTAAGCTGGGAACCCTCCCTGGTACTAAGAAAAGCAAGCAGAATCTGCGTCGATTGTGATCCATCCTGATACACGTCGTCAGATGTGCCATAAAGGGTTTTTAGGACATTAATCCTTCCACAAAGAAAATCAAACCAAAAAATGCTTTCTGCTATTCTACTTGTTTAAAAAAAAAAAAAAGAAGGTTAATTTTATGATTCCCTTTTGCTATTTGGTCATTTCTGCATTCCTAAGAGTTTTCAGAAATAACTATTTTGAAATGTGTTAATTTCAAATTTAAAAGAAAACTCTGGATGTGTGTTCTAGTAACATTTTAAATATTGTCCCTGGTGATTTTCTCAGTGTTTGAAGGCTTCCAAACTTCTTCACCAAAACACTGAATTAAAAAAAATTGGTTTTGGCAAGTTATCTTCCTAGCACAATATGAACCATTCTTGAATTGTTAACAGGAGGAAGCCTAAACTGTGTTTTATTTAAATGCTTACTCTTGTTCTTCCAGATTTTTAACAGCATTTCTAGTGAAAATGTCAGATGAGGTGAGTGAAGTCTTTTTTAAAATAAAATTGTGTGGGACTCAAAATTTTATTAATTTTTCAAGATTTTCCCTGAGTTTTAAACTGTGAATGTTAATAATACCATATTCTCTGATGGCTTGCATTACTTGAATCTTAAATTTTCTTCCTTTGTTCAGGATCTACAGATGTTTTGTTAGAAATGTGATGAAACACTTTATTATCTTTTTTATTTTTGAAAAAAAAAGGACTGTGTCTTGGCAATACTGCTAAAAAATACTGCCAGTTTTTTTCAAAATAATAAGATGCATTTTAGTATTTGTATATATTTGTAAATAAGTTAAATATTTTTTTTGTCTTGTAAATGTGAAAATAAATTACAGTTTTCCACAAGTTGATTAGTAATTCTGGACTTCTTGTTTTTCATCTTGAAACATAATTTTTCATGCTCATTTCTCATCACTGCTAGTAATATTTCCTAAAAATGCTGATTTTACAACAGTCAAATCTCCTCGTTTTGTCTAAAACCTACCCTTTGCTGTCTTCCTCCTTCCTTACATAAGCGGAGGGTGAATACATACTGCAAACGTTCCTGCTTCCTGATCTAATACACTGTAGCAAATTTTCTGTTGACTGAATTTGTTATGCTGTTGCAGGGTGGTGACGCACTGGAACAGGTTGCCCAAGGAGGTTGTGGATGCCCCATCCCTGGAGGCATTCAAGGCCAGGCTGGATGTCGCTCCGGGCAGCCTGGTCTAGTGGTAGCAGGAGGGTTAAAACTAGGTATCTTTGAGGTCCTTTTCAACCCAAGCCATTGTATGATTCATCCTATGATTCTGTGACCTACCTTGCTGCTAGTAAACTCATTCTGACTATTCCACAGCAAAGGAATGCAGGCTTTCGAGAAAGCACTGATTTATTTATTTATGGAAATGACTGCGGCTTTCTCTTGCTTTTTAGTTAGCAAGCAATCAACTGACTGGGATAGCGGCATAATGTCCTACTTGAGCTTCTGTTTTAGCAGCAATCAAATATTGCACACTGTCTACTGAAATTTCTGTGACCTGAAGAACACAGACACCTTAATGCGATTGGACAGAACTGCCTATTTCTGTATGTTAATTTTGAGAAAAGTGGTAGGGATTCTCACATTTAGAATGGTGTTGCAGAATATGATACATTTTGAATTAAAGTTTGTGTCTGTTTTGAAGCTGAATGTGGATATTACGAACTTAATATATTTACTTTTTCAAGTTCTGAATACAGGAAACTGTAGGTAGTTTCTGATAGACCTAATAATATTTACACGGTGAAGGGGAAGTGCAATTGTGTTGTTTTGGTTTTGTTTTTTCCTTTAAAATATTTATTTAATTGTATTTCTTGCTTATACAGAATTTTGAGGAAAGCTCTTTCTTACTCTCACAGGTAAGGGGAAGAAATTGGACTACATGGCTTCTGTGGTCATGGGGTATGAATGATACAAAGATGTTTTTCACTCTCTTTAGAACCTCAAGCTTATATCTCAAACCTCGCTAAAAAGGTTGGATTACTTGACTTCCAGTGAAACCTCAGCTAGGTTGTAATGGGTTTTACAGCCTTCAATAGGTGAAGTGGAAATAAAGTAGTGTCTAGTGTCCTTTGTGAATACTAAACTAAAAGCATAGGATGGTCTAGAAAGAAATTATAGGGAAGCTGCTTTGAATAGTAATCTGTGCTTACAAGAAATTGAAAGCGAACTGTGACTGGCGAGACCACGTCAAGTAATATGTTCAGTTTGGGTCCTCTCAGTACAAGAAAAAGAATGAGATTCTGGATTGTGTTCAGTGAAGAGCAGCAAAACTGGAAAATGGACTATAGAAAATATTTGAGGAGCAGCTGAAGGAACTGGGGCTGCTTAGTCTGGAGAAGAGGAGGCTCGAGGAGACATAATTACTCTCTAGAGCTACCTGAAAGGAGGCTGCAGTGGGAAGGGATTGGTCTCTCTCCTGAAGTAGAAACAGCCTCAAGTTGTGCCAGGGGAGGTTTAAATTAGACATTAGGAAGAGTTTCTTCATGGAAGGGATTGTGAGACATTGTAATAGGCTGCCTAGAAAAGTGGTAGAGTCCCCATCCCTGGAGATATTTAAGAGAGATGTGGATATTACACTAAGGGACATGGTTCAGTGATGGAAGTAGGCAAGTCAGTTTGATGGTTTTGTACTTGATGATCTTCATTGACATTAGAATAATCTAAATGATTCTGTGACTGCTGCCTATTCTTAAAGTCTAGGGAAACTGCTGACTCATGTTGAACTCATCAGAACAAGGTAAGCAAAAAAACTTCACGTTTTGGCACAGCCAATCACTGCTTGAAGATGTCTTTAGCAGCAAGGTGAACACTTTACAGGAAATGTCTGTATTTATGTATTGCAAAAAAAATGCATGTTCTTAGAAACCTTAGCATAAGTTAACCCCTGCTAAAAATGAGATTTTGTATCCTGTGAAAAGTCCATTTGTGAATGATCCTTAAGAAATTTTCCATGCTTGCAATTTCATTATGCCAAACCTCTCAAAGAAGCATGGGAATCTATGTCTGTCACACAGATGTTTTTTCTTTTATTATAATCTTGCCAGACAGTTGAAGCATTGCCCAACTATACTGAGTATAGGAACAAACATGAAGATTGTGTGCAACTTCCTGAAAACCACATGACTGTTGGTCTCCTCACAAATACCTTCAGTGAAGAGTGTACAGCAGAAAACTCCCCACCTATGCATACCAGTAATTACTGCTGAATGAGAAGCCACTACTTACAGAGGCATTAGTACTAGCTGATGTTGCCACCAATGCTGAAGTTATAAATGCCAGAAGTGGAAAGACTGTAGTAGATATAGATTTTGACTTACTTGAGCCTGTCTTTGATATGTAATAAACATGAGAGTCATACCGCATGGCATGGCAATCTCTATATACTGATGAGTAATGCTCAATTACTACAGCTGTGTTGTCACAGAACTTAGATTCACTATCTGGCAGCTCTAGCAATGTTTCAGAAGTAAATTGAGCTGTAGCCACTGTACTTGTGCATTTCAGATCCATAGAGGGCAATAAATACCTGCTTGATTATTGGACTTGATGGTCTCAAGGATCTCTTCCAACCTAAATGATTCTGTTGGCTGCTAGCTCATTAGAGTTCTAGGAAAATTTTGCAGGAAGGTCATGGAAGCCCATGAACAGCATAGGGAAACCCCTAATACCTGCAGGCTGAGTTTCAAGTCTAGTTGTTGCAATGCAAATTTCTCCCTGATTCTTGCTTGTGTGTGGGCATGGAGAAGAAAGATAGGAGTGACTGAGAGAGGCAGGGAGGCATTCAGGACTTTCAGAAATTAATAGTGAATGACCACATTTGGCAACTTTTCTCTTGCACTTAGAGTTCCATTCTGAAGAACCAATGGAGCTGATTGGTTATTACTTTGGCAGTTTGAAGATGTGTTTTTATGTCTTTGGGGAAAATGTAAAATACAATCTCAGCTGTTCCACTCCAGCAGCCAGAGGAAGTAGGGAGGTGTCAGATTTTGATTAATCTGATGATACAGTACTTTTAAAAATGAAGATTAGTTTGTAAGCACTTATCAGTGTAATTTTTCTTTCACTACTAGGTTTTTTTGTTTATCTGTTTTTGCCACGTGGACTCTAAGTTCTAGCAGTGACCACTCGGAAAAGCTCAGAATATTGAATTGCAAAAATGTAAACTCTTCCCTGACTCATAGAGTTTAAAAAACATATCTGTATTAAGAGTTATCTTAATATCTGAATGTCAGCCAAAGGCTGACGTAGCTTTTGAGGAAATTACGCTGCGATATACAGATTTAAAAACAATCAAATATGCTCTGGAAAGCGAAAACCACAAGGTGGTGCTCTTGAAACGCTGCATGAAGCCAGACTAATTGTCTTCCTTCTTGCTGAGCTCATCAAGTGTGTGCTTCCTCCACTTCTGTTGGAATTAGCTATCCATCCAGTTACTACTGTCAAGCATAATTACATTAAATCTGTGATTAAAAGAACTAGCATGAAAATGTAATTAAATTACTGATTTTAACATTTGTTATAAAAATATTTCTGTAGAATGTGTATTTGCTACATTTAAACAAGAAGACATGCATCCTAGAAAATGTTTACTGTTAAATACATGTCTTCTTCAAGCAGTGACTGGCTGTACTAAAACTTGAAGTTTCTTTTGCCCATTTTGTGCTCCTGTGAGTGACAAGCAAAGAGCAAAGCCATGATGCCAAAACAGTGGTTAAGAACTGTCTCACCAGTGAAGGTCTGAAGTACTGACTGCTGGACACTGGATCACTGACAAGTTGAATACAAGTCAGCAGTGGGCCCCTGCTGCTAAGAAGGCTAACAGCATTCTTAGCAGCACTGGACAAAACATCATCAGCCAGGGAAGGGAGGAGACCCTTCAGCTCCACTCAGCTTTGGTGAGGCCACATTTGAAATGTTGTGTCCACTTCTGCTTCTCTTTGTATAACAAAAATGTGGACATACCATAGAAAGTCCAAAAAATAGCCATGAGGATAGTGAAGGGACTGGAGCACCTCTCCTACAAGGAATGGTTTGGAGAGCTGAGACTACTCAGGGGAAAAGAAGGCTCAGCAGGGATGACCCCAGGTACTACGGACCTGTCAAGTCTTATTTCTGTGCCGGGAAAGATCCTGGAGCAGATACTCCTGGAAGTTGTGCTATTGCGCATAAAAGACAGTGAGGTGATACTGGAGAATCAGCATGCTTTCACCAAAGGCAAATTGTGCTTTACCAACTTGATGGACTTTTATGATAGTGTAACTGCATCAGTGGACAAGGGAAGTGCCAGTGATGTCATCTATCTATCTGGACTTCAGTAAGGCTTTTGACATTGTACTCCACAACATCCTTCTCTCCAAATTAGGAAGATATGTATTTGATGGTTGGACTATTCAATGGATGAAGGACTGTCCACAGGATAAAATGCGGAGAGTGGTGGTCGATGGCTCAATTTCTGAACAGTGATCAGTGATGACTGGTGTCCTTCAGAGGTCAGTGCTGGGACCAATACTGTTTAATATTTTCATTGATGACATCAACAGTGGGGTTGAGTGCTCTCACCAAGTAAGGAGATGACACCAAGTTGTGGGGCGTAGTCAGTCAGGCTTTTCTCAGAGGTGCCCTGTGACAGGACAAGAGGCAGCAGGCACAAATTGGAACACAGGAGGTTCCCTCTGAACACCAGGTAACAATGCTGTGCTGTGATGGAACACTGGCACAGATTGCCCTGAGAAGCTGTGGATTCTCCTTCTTGAAGATCTCCAAAAGCCACCTGGACATGGGCCTGGGCACCCTGCTCTGGATATCCTTGCAGGAGGGACCAGATGGACCCAGAGGTCCCTGCCAACCTCATCTATTCTGTGACCAAGCAGTGAACTGAATTTTGAATGGGACCTGTTTCTATGTTTCTGATGACTGAAGTTCAGTGATCACATCAGCCGACTGACTGCTACAGAGTGACCCAGATTACGTCTTCTGGCAGAAGCTAACAGTACCAGATTGAAAGTATCTAAAAGGCTTAGTAAGAATATGTAAGATAGCTTACGAGACAGTGTCTCTCCTGTGCTTAGGAGGATCTGTTGTCATGAGCTGAAGTAGTGTTATCTGAACACAAAATGTGGACTGGACAATTTCTATAAAACATGCTTTATTTCAGAGTATAATTATTGTAGAAGAGGTTCTTTCTCCTTCAAATAATTAATCTCTGTTGTAGAGGAGATACAAGAATGTCTGGAATGGGAAAGAAAGGAAGACAGATATGAGCCAAGCCTAGCAATCCAAAGCCCTCAACAAGCTGCAATGGCAGCACCCGCCTTCAGTCTCAAGGATGGCCCTGAGGATGTCCTCTGGCAGTGTAGGGTCATTGTCTTACTGAGAGCAGAAGGAACACTGGCCACTCTGCTCCTTTTCTCACTTCCTAAGTGATACTGGATTGTTTTTGAACTGGATGCTGGACTGATTACTAGCGCAACGCATCACCAGTAGGGTAAAACTAACCTGTTTCATGATGGTCTCACAAGGTGCCAGGAGTGCTGCCCTTGGTCAGTACAGCTGTGCCTGGCAAGGGGAAAGTGAGGTAGTGATGTTGGACTTGCTGCAGGGGAAGGGCATGGTCATGGAAGAGGACTGGGAGTAGGACTGGGAACTTTAGAGCAAGTACTGCTCTGGGGCATGATGAGAAAAAGAAGAGTTTTTGGATATCTGATGCTACCTTAAAGCCAAACCAGGATAGTTGTTACGAATGCTGGTGTTTCTTTGAGTGGTGTAGTTATACTGGAGTCCTCAGTGCACATAAGACCCACATGAAGAGTATCCCAAAGGTCAGTGTGGCTCTAACCAAAAGTATGTGCAGTAGTCTCATAAAGCTCAGGCAGGCCTCAGCGGCTCTCCACAGTATCCCAGTACATGCTGCAATGGTTGTTCTCTGTGAGACCTGGAGCAGGTATGGAATGGATCCAGCCGTACCACTGGTCAACAAGAGCATGGCAGAAGGACTAAGCTTGGAAGGAGCTCCTGGGTATTTCAGAAGAAGGTATAGCTTTGCCAGGGCTGACACACTGTAGCTACAGTGTCACATGAGAGAGTTAGGATGGATCCAGCTTTGTGGGTGTTTTTCACTTATTGCTGCCTGCTGAAACTCTTGTGAGTGCTGTATTTCCACCAGAGTGCGCAGTCTGCCTTATCAAACAGGGTGAGAGCTGCTTCAAAGCAGTATCTTGCTCATGCATGAATCATAATGCAAACACAATGACACAAGACCTCTGAGACTTACCTCTCATACTTAGTGTCATTTTATGAGGGTCTACCTCAGTTCAGTTAATTACATTGTGCAACAAATTTTCGTTAGTCATATGTAGATCTAATTTTCCAGATTGCCCCTGGGTACCAAATTAGTAGAGAAGACATCAATTGCAATTTGCTTACAAACATACTTTAAACACCAGCTGCTTGTAAAAATACACATCATGTTTTTTAAATTAAAAAACTCTGTGTTGCCAAAAGAAACAAACAAACAAACAAACCCTAACAAAAAACTAACAGGCAAAACAATAATATTTAGTCTCTACATTACATGTGCTTATGTACTCCTAAATAATAATTTAAAAAAATCTGGTCACCCCTTTGCTCCCCTTGTGGGTGGGACGTGACACAGTGCTGGTAAGAAAAATAGAAAGTCAGTGGGTACCCACAGTTCTTTATGGCACATCAGGATTATATAATAAGTCATGATGTTAAACTCTATTGGGAAACGCCCACTGAGGCAGGGTAAAAAGCCTTGTAAAATGCATGTTGAAGAGAAATAAATGGGAAAGAATGCTGAAGGGCTCCTGGTCTCACAGAATACTCTTTATGAGGCGTTTATGAAAGCCAGGTAGTTCATGTTTGTCCTAGTCTTTTCATATTCATTAAATAACGATTATATTTTCTATATTTGTATACAACATACAAATGAAATATATACAAATTGTTAATGTGTCTTAGTGCCCTACGCCACTATCACAGTCCCACAGATCTGCTACGGAATAGCTATGAAATATTTAAGGAGTGAACTTCTTAATATTTCTATATATATTCTCAATGTGTTAATACTGAACTTATTTCCTCATCAGGAAATGTAATAATCTGCAATGTTCTTGATACAGATTAAAATACGAAAGGCAATTTTCTCAATTAAATGAAACTTTTTTGCTGTATTTCAGAAATCACAACTGAAGAAAGGCAATCTTCCCTTGTAGCTTCAAGTCAAGAACAAGATTTTCATTGTTCTCACATGGCAGCTCTCCATAGCAAGGTTTTCACAAACTTTCTGGCATTGGTAGTAATATAGTAAGTTTGTTTATGCTTTCATGCTAGTCTTGAATATGATTAAAGTTTTGAGATATCCTGTCTCTATATCCAGACACTGAAGCAAAATGGCTATCAGTAGTTATTTTCATTATCAGTTTCATAAATTCTGGTGACCAAAATCAAACATGCTGAGTGTGGAAAAAAGTAGTGCATATTCCCTCCTTACTCAGGAAATGCTCAAAGAGAAGGAAACACCTGCAATGTACTAAGCAGTAATAATAATAATAATAGTGAAAAATACTGACTTGTTAGGCAGCTAATGGAAACTCTTGCAGTAAGAATAATTTGATTTCTAAGAGATGAAGTGAGTGCGATGTGAGACAAATAGCATTCTGGGACTCCACAATTTTTCTAGAAGGTGATGGAATTTAATGAGATATTTTCTTCCTCAGCATTCATACTAGGCAAGGCAAATCCTTTGAAACAGCTCCTTTCTGCAGGTAAGTGATGTATACTTGTACTGCCCACTGAAATTAACATCAAGCATTCATTGTTTATGCAATTCATGAGAACAGAAATTTATGCTCTTGTAAAAATCCAAGGTGATCTTACAGCTCTGTTAACTAGGTAGAACTGGTTTTGTTACAGTACATAAGCAACACTGGAAGTGCAAAAAAATTATATCATTGGAAGAAGTGTCTGTAAATTGGCTTATTGATTAGACCTCCAGAGAATAAAGTATGTTATAGTGGAGAAGATGGTAGAGGGTAACTATAGCTTTTCCTCTTTTATCTGTTCAGAATAAATTAAATGTAACTTACTATAGATTTTCAAGGATTATAAATGGGAAAGAAAGTGCACCTAACAGATTCATCTTTCAAAGAAATCAATTCATTACTCCATAGAATTATAAAGTTCAAAAATATTTCTCAACATTTCAACTACTACATTTGAAGAAATTCTTTGTTTAAAGTCAGTTCAGTATTTATTCAGCAAACGAAGTTTAAAAATTCTTCTATTTCAACATTTTCTGCATATTTAATTAATGTATTTATCTACAGATAACTCACCTAATCTTAATACAAATTGTGTCAGATATAAAATACTCATTTTCATTCTCTGTAAATTATTGTGATAAGGGCTATCTAAAATACTAAAAGTAAAATAGTTGTAATTGTTAGGTCTCATTTTAAAAAAGCTATTTTAGCCTCTTTTCTTCTTTTTCTTCTTATCTCAGACTCCTTTAGAGAAAAGGAAAGGAGAAACACTACGCCGTGTTCAATTCATCTTCCATATTGTTCAGGATTGAGTAGAAATTACTGTGGAAACTATGCAGAAGGCACATTTTTTGTATAAACTTGTGTCCAGAAAGAGGTAAAAAAAATTGAAAATAAATGTGAATGCTGTATCTGTGTCACCTACAGACATTCAAACTAGAAATAATGTGATTTAGCTTTCAGACCTTGAGCTCCTAGTGTTCCAAGGGAAATGTGTAGTTACTACTTATTATGCAGCTTACAATAACTGTCGAAAAGATTGATCCAATTAAATAAAAAGTACTTACTTGAAAAATCCCTATTTTAAATTGTTGTGCAAATGTGTTTCCTCATAGGCCAGCACAGTTTCCTGGTAATAAGCTGGTACTACCTGGTAGTTAAGGTCTGTGGGCTTAGAAATTAAAAGCAATCAGCATCTATTTAGTTACCATTTTTAAGACTTGTTCAAAGCCAGTGAATGAGCGCATTATTATAAAGAAAATGACCACAGTGGGAAAGATAACCCAAAATACTTCTCCTTAAACCTGCCCTTACAGGGCAAGAAAACATAGGACTGATGCAAAGCCTGTGGGCAAGAAATTAATCCATAAATCCTTGAAAATTAAGCCAATATTTATATTCCTTAAAAAAAAAAAAAAAAAAAAAAAGGGTTTAATCTACTGGTGAACTCAGAACACTCAATGGCACAATATATCCTGTGTATGAATTTGCCTTAGAGATGCAGCTGCATGGCCATATCTACTGCTGCTAAATTGCTTTGAAGAACTATACTCCTCTATTTTTCAATGTCCTCCCAGCCTGGATGTATTTTGCAGCTAATTTTAATGAAGGTGAAAAAGCAGCAACATCACTTTTGTATTAAACAGATTTAGCATCAATTCAATTTGAATTCAGAGTGTTTTTATTATGGAGTTTTTTTGTTTATGCCAAAATTGAAGTATTGCAAAAGGAACATAGAATATACATCTCTTGTTGTTAGTTTCATCAAAGGTTGATGGATAAAAGACTTAGATCCCCTCTCTGAATGAACCGTAGTCTGATCAAACAGAAGCTGACCTTGAAAACTAGATTATAAGTACCTTTATACTCACCTAATAGTAGCCATCCTGAGGTGGGTAGGTCCTTTCATGGCCAGTAGGAGCAGGCTGGCAGGAAGAACAGCTGTCTTCCACCATTATCAGAGACAAGACCTGAGACCAGACCACCACAGTGCTTTGCCAGGCTGGCCACTTTCTCCCAGGTGGCAAGGGATTCACCATCACACCTTTATATATTTAACCAGTGTTCTGAAGCAGCTGGGGGCCACTCCTTGAAAGGTTTGTTATTTTAAAATACTTAGTACGTGTACTATCTTTTCCAATTGTAAAAAGCACAGTCAGCACTTAGCCACCAGAGCAGAGAAGACAAAGCTGTCTTTTTACCTGCTGTGTGAGGGTATTTTAGACAGCCGTTTTGTTCATGTCCATGTTGATCTTGATCTTGCACCAGGGCAGAGTTTGAAGGTAGGGATTGCAGCAAAATCCTGTGCAGACTTTCCTTGCGGAAACCCTTTACTGATCTGACCTTTCAGAAACAGTCACACTAATATGGTGAAACTGGATTTTTTCATTTCTGCTGCCAGGTTTGCAAGTAACAAGCATTGGAGTTCTTGTCATCTGCGCCACGTCACATCCCAACTAACTCGGCCCTGATTTCAAGTTTGCTGTCATATTAATTTAATCATCTAACTTTTGGCTGTCTTTTATCAATGTTCTATTTTTCTTTTCACTGCTATAAATATATAAAAAATCTTCTCTAGTTTCTGTAGCTGACAGTTTCCGTGTTGCCAGCAACAATCCCAGTACCCACACATGCATCTAAAGTAAGGGTCCTCTTCTAGAGAAAAAAGGTGAAGAGAAGATCTCAACATAAAGTACCAAAGATTTTTACCTTCCAGCAGATAGATGTTGTATTATATCATATATAAGCATTTTAACTCCTACTTTGCACTACTTTCCAGCACAGTACTTCTATATTGATTATCATTAATAAAAAAAAAAAAAAAAAAAAAAAAACATTTTAGAAAGATATCAGTGCTTAGGACAAGAAAATATAATGGAGTTTATCTATATTGATGTATTCACCAGTGATTTGTAAAACATGCATATTCCTTAAATTATTAGCTTGTTTTATAACTGGTACAGTTTAATTTTTAATATTTCTGCACTGAAAATATATTTGAGAGTCTTTCAGTTCCTAGGTTTTCTTATCTTAACAAGAATGTAAACCTATTGCCCGGTATTTGGTCTTGCAGACATTATCAACTGGACTCAAAGTTGATGAATCATCCCATTAATTTTAACCCCTGAATAGAGCCATGACCTTCTCTTCCCATCAAGTTGAATTACAACAAGATTCGGGGTGCTTTAATCTATTGATGCAATCGTCTGTAATGACATTGCTGTATTATTAATCGCATACTCATCCGTTCACTTGAAAAACAGATACTTTGAAAGCATTATGCAACAGGCATGTCCTTAGCTATCAGCCACCCCAGCACAGGCACTGTAACTAGAATACATGCTTACTTTTTTGTGAAATAGTAATCAACATAATAGTAATAGTATTACATTTTAAAATGTCCATAATACAGGCTACATTTTTAGCAATCAAACCTAAGAGTGTGTTACATAGGTTTTGACTGTCTGCTGGGTGTGGTAACTTCCTAGTCTCAGCTTTAGTTTTTGTACAAATGTTATATCTCATCTTAAAGCCTATCCAGTAGCATTTGGAGTAAATTATGTCAGAGAAATAATTTATTGGGTAACATTCAGTTCACATTCAGATCTCTAAGCAAAGTGGTAAATTTAAGTGAAATCGCTGAATACAGCAATACAGCAGAGAATCCCAGATTGTGGTGTGAAGACATCTCCTAACAATCTGTGGTGAACTGCCTCATCTTATTCTAGTTTACTCTTTCAGAAGCCTGTTTAAGAGAGAAGTAAAAATGTATTATGCACGTTTCCAGCGTTTTAAGGAATGTAAGAAATTTCTGCAGTTGCCCAAGGGATAGTATACCTTCTTGCTAGATAGATGGATTGTATGAATTCAGAAAGCAATTATAGTGAATAAATTACCATGTATTTATAGATCTAACCCATCTCTCAGAAAAGATGCATATCCCTAAAAATACTGTGGAAGAAAAGTATGGAAATTATAGACATCCTCAGATAACTGAGCTGAGCATTCCGTTTTGTGCCAGCCACTTGGAAAAAAAAAGGGTTTTGTCCTGCCTTGGAAGGAGGAAATGCGTGAAAAGGGTTGTGTACTATGGCAGGAACAAAAAAAGGTAAGGGCTTCTAGACCTGAGCAGTGTGAAGGAGATGGAAAGAAAGTCTCTTATTGAAATCCATACTGCAGGTTGGGAATGAAAGGAGAGAGACAAAAGCTAATAGCATGGTTTTGGTTATTGAACTTCTCCATGCATTACCTGTACATGAGTATAATGTATTATCCAGCAACTAAAGATCTTGACTGGTAATACACAGACACCAATTGTGAAAACAGAACATAGATTCAATATCAGCTAAAGCTTCTCAGGGATTCTATCTCAGATAAAGAATGTGATTTATATTTGGTAGGACAGGTTTTCAGCTGTTGTAAATCAAAAAAATCACCATGATTTACAACATAAGATAATACAGTGCAAACTGCATATTTTTTGTTTTGTGGAATGATTTTGGAGCTTTATATTCCTGTGTATAATTTTGGAATAACTTCAGTAAACACTGAAGAATTTAACCTTTGTGTGAGAGGTGTATTATCTCCAATATCTACATAACTAAGATGTGGATGCAAGGTTATACTATGTTTCTTGCTGTCGCTGTCAGATTTAATACATAGCAGTCATATATTTGAGTTCATGACAGTCAAGTTAAATTAGAGTAGTATTAATCATGCAATAGATTTATGGCTAAATAACAATAATTCTGTCTTTTTAATACTCTTCTAGGGAAAAATACATATAATTCAATTGATGATGTCGAAATATTTAGAATATTATTGAAAGTGACAGCATTTTTTCAGCGATAAGAGAAGCAGGTGAGCATATCCTAAATATATATATTGAGATGTTATTTCTTTGGATATTTCATCAGGGTATTGTCATCAGATATGGAAAAGATTATAATGAGATTTTTCCTTAGTAACAATATGTTTAGAATTAGTGTTTCCCTTCAGAGTATTTTTTTATAGCTACAATACGGCTTACAGCTAGTATTTCTGCTATTTTATTTCTGCTATCCTTTTTTTCAGAGGAGCATAGTCCAGCTGGTGATGCATAAGACAGATTTAGATTGCAAGATACTCCCTCCTTTAGGGAGGGAAGATTTAGGTTGGCTGTCAGGGGGAAGTCCTTTACTGTGAGAGTGGTGAGGTGCTGGAACAGGCTGCCCAGAGAGATTGTGGATGTCCCATTCCTAGAGGTGTTCAAGGCCAGATTGGATGGGCCCTGAGCAACCTGGTCTGGTATTAAATGGGGAAGTTGGTGGCCTTGGTGGCCCTGCATAAGGCAGGGGGGTTGGAGACTCATGATCCTTGTGGTCCCTTCCAACCCGGGCCATTCTACGATTCTGTGATCCTGCCTGGCTCTTCACCCTCTCTGAGTAGTGGTTACTCAAGTAATTCAAGTAGTTCTAGCAAGCTACCCAGGTCTATATCAGCACTGCAGAGAGCAAGCCTCTGTCGTGTGTTTCTGTGGGAGGGCAGATAGGAATGGGATCACGTATTGTCCTATGTCTCCATGTACTCCGCCAGATAGACTTATTTCTAGAGCAGGGCAGCCCAAAGTAAACATGTCAGCTAGGATGTAGTTCTGAAGCTGGTGAATTTCAGACTGTTAGGCTGGAAATTCAGTTCTCTTTAATATGTATAACTAAGAGCTTGGGAGGATATTCTGTGGAGGTTACTTTTAAGGATAGTTATGAATGGCTGATACGAGAAATCGGACCCAAAAAAAAAAGAAGGAAAGTTGAAAATAGAAGTTATAGATACTTATTAGTCATTTGTCAAAAGCATTGGTCATCCTGCATGTTACGTAGTGACAATGATGTGGTGATGGAGATGACTCAGAGCTGACTCTTAGAAGACAATAGCCAACTGATGTACTTGCATCTATCCCTTCCCCTCAGCTACTCGGAGATGCTCCAAGGAGGAGCACATTTGCCCATTCTACACAAAATAGGTACCTGGGGGCTGGGGAAGAGTAACAGGCTGTCAAAACTGTCTTTATATTGTCTCTTCCATCATGGAAGCAACTCCATCAGGTGATTGGAGGAGGGATATTTCTATGGGAGGAAATCTTTGCCAGCAGGTTTTTGCCTGGAGCACTTCAAGGGAATACACACCCACTCAGCCACTATGGGGAAGCTCATAACTTGAGACTAATGGGCCTGAGTTGCTCTTTGTTCCCCAGCAGGCATCTTGAGGAAGTCTCAATACCCCAGGCATTTATGGCCATTGGTGTGGCCTAGGATGTTATTAGAAGCATTATTCACCATATGGTGGGGTCTGTTTTCAAATATGACTGGTAGATCTTTTAAAATGCCTGGAAGTGGGTAGCAAAAGGTGAAGGCGTACAGGATGAGCATCATCTTTCAACAAATAAAGAGGAGGGGCAGGGATGCACATGGAGTTGAATTGTATGTGCGCTTCTTATAGTGGAAAAGAGACTTAGAGGTTCTGGTCTTGCCACAGACTTTCTGGTTCCTGCAGCTGCTTAGAGCCCATAAAATCACTTTCCATGAATTGTTGCACCTAGGACCTTCATGTGGAACTTTTCTTGCTAGGTATGTGTTACTTCTTATTTGTTTATTTATTTCTGTTTCAGAAACTGAGGTCAGTGAAGATCAGCTGCACTTTAATGGGCCTGAAGAATACATGTTTGCTGTGGGGCTTTGACATGTGGTAGCTGAAAGTTGCTCACAGGGAGAGTAGAGCTGGTCTCTTCTCACTAGTGACAGGTGAGAGGACAAGGGGAAATGGCCTCAAGTTTTGTCAGGGTAAGTTTAGGTTGGATATCAGGAAAAACTTTACAGAAAGGGTTGCTAAGCACTGGAATAAGCTCCCTAGGGAGGTGGTTGAGTCACCATCCCTGAATGTGCTTAAAAACCATTTGGATGTGGTGCTCAGGGATATAAGATAGTGGAGGGTTGCTATAGTTAGGGTAATGTTTGGACTTGACCATTCCAACCTGAGAAATTCCATGATTCTATGATTCTATGATCTCTTCAGGCAGTGAGTAGAGAGGAGCACTCACCTGCATACTGACATTTTCTGATTTGATCACACTTCCATCCTTCTTTTCTTCTTATGTATTTATATGCTAGCTCAGAGTTACATATCAGATTGGTAATGCAGTGTTGTTGGTTCTCCTGTTGGATTTTGCTGTATTTAGAACTGGGCTGATTTTCTCATTATCATCACTTCATTTTTTTTCATGTACTGAGCTAATAATTTGGCACGGCAATCTTTGGTTAAAACACATAAACAAGTAATACAAAACAAAATAACCATATGAGAACAAAACCAAAAATAAATAAACAAAGAAAAACACGCCCCAATAAGAAACCTTCCTACTGTGGAACAACGTAAATTCACAGAATTGTAGAGGTTTGAAGAGACCTCTAGACACCATCAAGTCACAACATAAAAATAATATTTCATTGAAGTACTGCTGCGACTAGTTTGGAAATGATGACAACTGAGCTCAAACTGTATATGAAATTACACTGTAAAACCCACGAGAGAATAGCTCTCACTGCAGCCCTTGGATGCTGCCTATTCAGTCTCTGAAACTGCCTGGAAAAAGTCTACAGTGTACTCAGTGTAGGCAGGCAGATGTTCTTGTAAGATATAACCCAGGGGATACAGCAAAGGACAAAGAATCCTGTTGGATGGTGCTCTGATCAGTGTTGACATGGTTGGTCTAAAAGAAGCTGCAAAGCATGGAGAATATGATTACCTTCATAAAATTAAAATAGATAATTTTTCCTAAGAAACTCTGCCCTGGAAAAAATGAAAACATTAATGCCACCTTTCCAGATCTTTTTTGTGCAATAGACTTTCTTGTTACATTCTTATTTGAAATGTCCCATGTTTAAACTCAGATTATGGATTTTACAGCACTGTATAATCACACTAATTCTCACAAACTTACAATCTATTTACATTTCACAAATGAAGTATCAGAAGTAAGAACTGATCACTGGCTGACAGCTCACTTCAAGATGTTTTCAGAGCCAGGATTGTAATGCAAGGATTCTTTACTCCCTTCATCTTTGCTCATCATACAGTTCAACTCCCTTTATTTTCTCCCTCCTTTCTAGAGACTAAACATTCTTTAAGACCTCAAAGATTTACATACTTTTAAGCCCTTACAAATTTTGAATCAGACATAATGATAAAAATAACTTGAGATAGTATAAAAGAGATCTTCCTGCCCACTAACTCTGGCAAATGTTTCAGACATTTTAATGATTTAAAGGCTTAAAAATTACTCAACTAATCTATTTTAGGTTTTTAGTTAGACAAGAAGCTAAGACAATCTGCAAGAAATGAGATCATTTCCTAGTTTGAAACCTCCTGTTTCCGAGTTGCTCTATTGACTCTGCTTTAGATTTCTGGAGGAACGTTTTATTCATTACGTAAGCCAAAATTTCAGGTAGATAGATTTTGTTTAAAGAAGCTTATTTATAGCTGTATTACAAGGGACTAGAATGATGCATTTATGAATAATAAAGAAACTCATCAAAATATTAAAAGCCAACCAAATTTTTACAAAGTAATGAAATGCATATTTTCCCTCTCCTCATTTTATTTTTATTTTTTCCCTATCCAGTATAATTCTCCTTACTCCCATGGAATTATACTAGTCTACACTTAGATTTAAATAGAAGGATCTAGACCTTTTTTTTCCTCTTCCGAATTCTTGATTCTTTCTTTCCTAATACTTGAGTCTCACATTATTTGTCAATGTGGATTGAGTATGAAGTAGTTCTGTTACAGTGCTTGAGAAATTCTGCCATTTGTCTGGAGCTTGTTGAGTACAGCTCGGCAATGTCAAACATCTTTGATTTAATTTAGCCTGGACCAGATGTCAACAAATTGGAACTTAATGTTGTTGAGACAGATGACAATGTAGGAAGCATAAAGAGATTAATTACAAATTAGAATTAAAGAAAACATTCTGATGTAGTTGTGCAATTTCTATTCACTGCAGCTTAGATCAATCAGAAAAAAAGAACAGGAATTGTATTTTTCTCTCATTCCATGCAACAAAGTTAATTGGAATAGCACTTAAACATGTACTAAATTCCAGAGTGTTTATAAAACTCATCTACGTGACTTTGGTATAATTGATTTGTTCAAAGGATTTTCCATTTGAAAACCATGCCTTTGCTTATTGTCTTTAAGGAGCCAAAGCTTATTGTGTTATTTGGATAAATATAAACACAGCTTTAGGGAGGTAGACATATATCCTTCAAGTGGTAGAGTAAATTTCTGTTATTTTCCTCAGAACAAAGTCTATGGGACATTCAAAATAATGAAAGGAACAGATGTTAAATTTAAGAATTAATCTTGTCCATTCAGATATTATTTTCTTCCATGATTGATTTAAAAACATATTATATTAGCACATGCTATACAGCAGACTACTATTACATAGGAATACATATATTCCAAATTTGAGCATTTGTTCAAAATCACAACTAAAAAAGATGCAAGATCTTTCAAAGAACATAGGACAAAATTATACAAGCAACTTTCCTTCTACTGTAGAATTCATCACAGATTGTATAATGCAATGCAAGTCTTTACTGATTTACTGATTTACTTATATATTTTCTAACAGACACGTAGCTCCCTTAGCAGCATCTTGTAATTATTGATTAAATAATAATTAACTTTTGATAATGTGAACTTCCTTTAGGAAATTCTCTTTGTCCCTCCATGCCTTTCAATTCTGCTGTGGTTCAAAAAATGAAATTTACCATATCATCTGATATATTCCTTTCTTTGCACTATGTCAATCACCATAGTATCTGAGTATTTTTCTTATTATTATAGCTTTGTTATGTAGCACAAACATGACAGGTAGAAAACAAGGTACTTGTTATTATCCATCTTTAAACAGGATATTAAAAAAAGGTAACTATCTGTGCAGAGGAAATGCTAAGTCGCAGCTTGAAGCAGTGATTGAGCACCTGGTGGGAAGGCAGGGCCAACCCAGGGGAGCTCAGGTGTATGCAGTGCACCTGAGTGACTGGAACAGATGAAGTCAGGATCCACCCCTTCCTAGACCTCATTTAAGAGTTGGCAGTGGAGATAAGGGCATCTTGCTGGAGATTCCTGCCTCCTGTATTTGTGGCCTTCCAGAGGTAAGCTCTTTTCCTTTATTTCTGTATCTGTGGCTGCTGTGTTTGGGCTTGTTCTCATTTGTTGTAGCCAAAGGTTTTGCCACCCTGATATTATCACAGTACTTTCCATCACGTTATAGCATTATTGCTCATTTTCAATATTTAGAGATGAATAAAACATCGGAATAGTTAAGGAATAAATTTTGATTCTGAGGATGCAAAATTTCTGTTGGAAAATGTAAATACACAGTAGAAGATGAATTTGTGCTATAGATTAACAGTTGGATTTTTTTTTTTAATGTCAGTCTCTATTTAGCAGAAGATTGGCTCCCCTAAACTAAATTTCAAAATGTGAAACAGCTTGGAATCAGAGCCATTCTTATACTCTGTCAGACAAAATATCTGTAAGCTTTATTAAAAAACAAACAAACAAACAAAAAAACAATAAAATGGTTTCTAGTCTTTGTGGACAGTTTCTAGGAATGAATAGATTGTCAAATGTTGTTTTAAAATGCAGACGTAAGATAAAACAGTAATATTTAAAGTTAGTCAATTAAGTCTATGTTAGCCTTAGTAGGTAGCAGACCTGTATTGCAACAAAAAGTATAGAGAAGCTTTCATTTATCTGTCTCAAAGTGAGTTCCTGTCACCTTTCCCAATTTCTCCTCCAACAAACAGGCAAAATAGGATTCTGAATACTGATAAGGTTGGAAGTGCTTGTTGTACCTACTTCGCTCTAGTTGGGTATGGTGAAGTGGCTGAAAAGGCACAAAATTTGTGCCTGAGCAGCTGAATTCTGCCCCAAGTGCATGGGCAAATAAATTAATTCTGTTCACTAGTACTTCCTGTTCTTTAATAAAAAAAACAAAACTGTGTAATTAACTGATCATATTTCTGTGCTGATTTGAAATACTCATACATTAATTTTGGTTTTGAGAAATTAGAGGATATATATATATATATATATTTTTATAATGGCCTTTTGTGGCAAGGAATTATTATAAATCAGGTTAAAGGAACTTAGTGTGTTTGTTCTCCCCAAAGAAAATTTACTTGTAATTCTTTCAATAATGGAGATGCTGTAGCCTTTGCAGACTGCCCACTTTAATATCAAGCTAAATCTCTCCTGCTATAATTTATGCCCATTACTTACGCTATTCAAACACAGAAAACAATTTCTTCCTTTCTTCTTTGAAGTAGCAGTCTATATACTTGAAAATCTTTCCTCACAAGTGGCATCTTCCAGATGTTTTTCTTCAGCCAAAAACATCTTTTAATGCAGAAGGAAAAGTCACCGCAGAAAATGTTTTCTTCTATCTTCCTTTTTCCCCCATCGTCTCTATGATTGTGATCATCTACCTTTCGCACATGTGCTCTCTCTCTTTGTTGTTGAGGACCACCCAGTGAGATTCATTCCTGAGCTCCTTTCTGAGCAACACAGAACTTTTCTGCACAAAAACTTTATGATTATTATTTTCATATATCTTTTCCTCTCTTACTCTGTGGAGCATAATTAAGAGAGTGAAAAATGAAGATAATAGTAGAATGTGACTTAAAAGCATGCAAACTGGGGGGGATCTTGGCTGTAGGATTATGTTTGTCAG